TTTCCCAGCAACCACTTAAAATAGTTGGGGTTGTAAAATGTCAAGTCAATAGTTGGGGATATAAGTTGAGGGTCTAAATTGAATACAGATGTCAATTCCTTCTTTCAAAGCTAACTGCAATCACTTTGAAACCTACCATGTGGTATCAGAAACACCATTTTGAGAGAGCAGGTACAGGCTGGCATGGTGGCACAGGCCTGTAATCCCAGCACTCAGGAGGCTGAGGCAGGAAGATCACCAAGAGTGCCAGCTTGAGCTACACAGTAAATTCAAGATCAGCCTAAACTACGTAGCAAAACCCTACCTTAAAAAATAAGTTTATATTTTGTGTGAAAATTTCCCATCCTTACCACACAATACGTTTTAGGAAGGAAATTGTTTAGGTAAATCATTCACCACAAGGCAGAAAGGATAAGACAGTTTTAACCTGAAAATCCAGAGTCCTTATCTGACTCGGCAGCCACCGCACCGAGCTGACGAGCCGCTTTCTTCATCTCTGTGCCTCTGCCCTGCTTGGCTGAGAGTCTTCTGGGGCTCTCTCTGGACGGGATTTTCCTCTCCATGTTATCAGCACTCTGGACTGCCCTGTGAGAAAGAAGAGTTATATAAAAGGACACTACCTGGGGTGCTGAAACAGGTGATCCCAGTGGTGGACAAAGAACACAGCCTCACCCACTTCATTTACATTTTCTCAAGTCTCAACTGTCAGCAGTTTCAAGTTTACTAAACAAAATGGTTTTCATCCAAAGGAGACTCTCAGTCCCTTGCCGCCTTCCAATTCCATTACCGAGTCAAGGCACACCAACCCCATTCTGTAGAAGCTTTGTGAACGGCTAACAAAGGCACATTTGATAAGGCACTCAGGAATGGGTAAGCAAATCAGCTGGCCTGCGGAGAGGGTACAGCCACCAAGGAGACTGGCTCTCCTGGTACAGGTCCACAGGCTTGTGACCTACTGTCACCTCCCAGTGTCGGCCTCTAACATAAACCTCTCAGTCCTCTAGATACAGGATGGAACGGAGTAAAAACTCCTTCTGAAAGGATAACCAAGACATTTCTAGGTAAACGCATGCACCCACCTTGAGAACACACGTGAAATAAAATAGACACATATGTATAAATAGCGCATTATTTCTCCGGCTTGAGAAACCAAAAGTGTAAATAAGGACCAAAATGTGTAACAGATATTGTGAAATAGGAACAAAATGTTCAAACAGCAAGGGAAACTAGAGAAGAGGATGGGGGAAAAGAAGGAAGGGAAAAGAAAAAAAAAAGAAAGCTTTTATAAATAGAAAGGGGAAAAGGAGTTGAAGGGCTGGTAGGAGAATGGGGGAAAATGAACCAAGATATACCACATACAGGAACAAACTTCCTGTGATGAATGTTGTCATCATGTACACCTAAAATGTAGTAATCCATGTAATTAATTTAAAAATGTTTATTAAGTGCTTACTATAAATCAGGCCAGCCTTGTGCTAGGATTAGGATACCAAGTGGGACAGACATGTTCACTTCCTTCTTGGAGTCTATGATCTAGAAAAAGAGATGGACAATAAGCAAGTCATCACACAACCACTGTTTTCATTGGTGCTAGGAAGAGGGAAGACTGGGAGTCTGGGGGCCTAGAGCAGCGCCTGCCACCAGGCCCCAGCACATGTGCAGTCAGCAAGAGGTAGCCTGGTGAAAGACAATGGGTAAAGTATGCAGGTGTTCTACAGGAGCAAGGAGACCAGCACAGCCAGCCTGGACAGGGAGGGCAGAGCACAATGCAGAGCGAGAGACTGCTGTGCAGTGACACTAGGGGGTAGGGGAACTGACAAGCAGTGCCTGGGAGTCCATGTGGAAAGGCGTTGGGTGTTAGGAGCAGTAGCAAGTCTCAGAAGAATGTGAGTCACAAGAGTTGACAAGATCAGATTTTTTTTTCTTTTTTCTTTTGTGATGCTGGGGATGAAATCAGGGCTTCACATTTGCTAGGCAAGTGCTCCACCTCTGAGCTACATTCCCATACTGAAGCTGCATTTTAAGGTGAAAACAGCTAAAATGGCACTAAGATCACATGGACACTACTACTGCAGTCCAGTGAACTGCAGCAGTGGCCCTAGAGTGGAGAGATGGAAGTGCAGAAGCTGACCTGAAGGGACACAGTTATTGTACTGGGCTGTGTGAGCATCGGTGCCATCTGCTAAGCCCAAGAACACAGAAGAGAGCTGGGTGGAGTGGGGTGGCTGTGCCAGTTCAGCTTGCTTACCAGAAACTCAAGTGACTGTGGGTCATCCAAGATGCTACAGCCTAGGGGAGAAGCCCATGTTTGCCTCAGATAGCCATAGCTCGCCCAGCAAATCTAGACCTGGGCTGATGGGGCAAGAACTGTGGAGGATCTGTTCTCCCTGAAGAGCATTTGCCCATACGTCCATGTGTTGTGTTCAGAGCCAAGCAAGGACATTTCCTTAACCCCTCAACTAACTGTGAGTAATGGCAATAAGTCTAGCAGAGGTGCTGATGTAGCCTTTAAAGCAATTGACAGGTCAGAGATGTTCCACCTATGGCTTCAAGCAGTGTGTGACAACTAGGCCAAGGAACGTCATGCTGAAAATGAGGTATGCATTCTCAGGCAGGGCTTGAAAAGTACGTATCAATGGGGGCCAGCAAGATAGCTCAATGGTCTAAAGCACCTACTTGGGCAAGCTCAGGGAGCTGCAGGGGACTGTGGTTCAGGGGACTATGGTTGGATCTGATACCATACACCTGTGCCAGCCCCCCCCCCCTTAGAGTAGGCTGAGCCAGGGGGAGGGGGGTTCCATAAAAAAGTAAAACAGTTGGGGCTTGGGAGATGGCTCAGAATAAACGCTTGCCCAGCAAGCGCAAGGGCATGAGTTCAATCCCTGGTTCCGCCAAAAAAATTAAAAATACAGAAGTACAGCAACGACCCCAAAACCCTAGATACTGCCCCAATCTGTGATATGCAGACCATTTTTTGTGCCTGCCTGTCTTTGTCTTTGTCTGTCTTTCTCTCTCTCCCCTGCAGAAATCATTTCAGCCCTCCTACCTAGCCCAGCTCACAGCACTCAGGTATTTCCCCTGCTATTCATCCCCAGCCACCCCCCTCTTTACAAATTAAAATCCTGGTTTGCCCTGCATCAAGGCCTCTGTTCCAGTTAGCCATCATTCTGAGTGGACTTAGGACCTCCTTGGTTCCCTGAAATGACAAATATGCTTGAGCATCTATTCCTGCTATGTGTTGCACTGGAAGTAGTAGACTGTAATTAACTTATTACAAGTCCAATAACTTTTTTTGTGGGATTACAAACATGAACTTTTCTTGACCTCAATGAGGTATAGAAGGGCTTTCATTAAGAATGAGGCAAGTCAGCCTCCAGAACAGCTGGCAAGGCTGAGAACATTCCAGCCCTCGCCCGCAGTGCTTCAACAAATACTGAGTCACCCAGGAATGGCAGTTATAAGGCTGGAATGATAAGAACACCAAGGATATTGCAGGGGTAAAGGCAACATGGAGCCAAGAGGGAAACACTGATAATGAAAATGGGTAGGGAAGCAAAGCCTGCTAGTTTTCATACACAATCCATTCATGGCTCTGTCCTGTTGGACCTGGAGAGAAACACCAGGAACTGGCCAGAGGACCTGTGCCGGAATACCCCAAAGGGCCAGGTCCAGACATTTCCATTAATGTAGAATCTAGTGAGGAATACCAGAGCAAAAATTTACAGTGAAATTAAACAGAAGATGAAGATGCTTTTGAGCATCTTTGAAAAACATCCCTCTTGTTCGTACTGCATCCAGGTGAAATGGACTAAAAGGACCAAAAACAGGCCTGAATGAGGGTTGAGTTCTAATCACAATTTCATGTAAAAATTATTTAGCCCCTTAGCTAAGTCACTGAAGGGAACTGGCTTCCTTGTTCAATTCATTTCAAATCAAGTACTCTTCCTCAGGTCACAGGCTTAATCCTGTTTGTACTAAAGATAAACAATGGCACTGTCACACTTTGCAGAGCACTGTGAAAAAGCAATGCTTCTTTGACAGCTGTGATGTTTGAAAGCATGGACAAGCCAGTGTAAAAAGCAGACTAAAATGTAAAACTCTATCTCTAATTAAATCAGGATCCCTTTATATGAAACCCAACAAATGTGCATAGTGTATTTTCTTAAAATAATATTGTTCAAAAGTAGGGGCCAGGGAGATGGCTCAGTGAAATAAGTGCTTTCCTAGCAAGCTCAAGGGTCTGAGTTCAATCCCCGGTTCCGCCAAAAAAAAAAAAAAAAAAAAAGTCAATAGGGGGCCTGGGAAACAGCTCAGTAGAATAAGTGCTTGCCTGGCAAGCGCAGGGTCCTGAGTTCAAGCCCCAGTACTCTCTCAAAAAAAAAGAAAGAAAAGTCAATAAGAGGGCCTAACAGATAGCTCAGTAGATTAAAGCACCTGCTTAGGCAGTTGCAGGGACTAGGGTTTGATCCCCACCATGCCAAGTGGTGCTGTGCCAGTTGTGCCCCTGGGGCATGCAGAGACTGTGACTGAGACTGGGTGTGGTGGCGGCTGCCTGTAATCCCATCGTTTGGAAAGCTGAAAACGGGGATCATTATGAGTCTGATCTGTGTAGTGAGATCCTAAACACCTTATTTACCCTTTCCTAAAATACAAAAAAAGAAAAGAAAATATAAAGGAATTTATTCTGGCTCATGGAGAATTTGTAGAATATCTTTATCATAAAACCAAACTAATGGAACAGTGACAAACTGGCTGAAAGTACAGATGCCAACATTTAAAACCCTGGCGCTGGTAGACGTTGCAAATAAAGAATCAAGACAACTAACTTTAGAATGGTAAACTATTTTGGATGTGGCAATTAAAAACATGAAAGGCACTGCCCTGGATAAAGTTTTCCTTAGGGAGCAGGAAGGCTTCTGTGGGAGGGAGTGCGAAGAGTCTGTCCCCTACTCTTTCCTCTCAGAGGGACTAGGCTGCAGCGATCAACCAGCAGTAACAGCAGACCCCAGCATACACAGCACGCAGAAGCCCTGGACAGAGAAGCAGTGCCAGCAGCTAGCACCAGCACCTCTCTAACCTAGGACCCCGCAAACGGCAAAGGCTGAAAACGAGAGGTTGCCAGAGTTTTTCCTTCCTTGGTATTATTTGACAGTACAGTTAGGTACTTACAAGCAGACAAGGCATTGAAGGCAGCTAAGTGTGTTAACTCTCACCTACTTTCTCATTTTTCAGCTTCCAGCACAGCCTGTAGCTACCAACACTGCTTTAGAATGACCTCTGATCCCACTAGAAAGACTAAATTCCCAAACTTTCAAGAACTGATCCTAGCTGGGCTTCTCATGCATCTGTTATACACTCCACAAAGTTCCTGAGAGGGTAAAACTCTTAATGGAAAGTAACAGCTACATATGTCTATATAGATTGGCACAAAATTGTAATTGTTACAAGTGCCCCAGAACACTTTTTAAAAAAATTTTTTGAAACAGGGTCTCACTTTGTAGCTCAGGCTAGCCCGGAACTCTGTGTAGTCCAAGCATTCCTCCTGCTTCAGTGTCCCCAGTGCTGGGATTACAGGCATGCACAGCACTTTTATTTTTGCACTTTTTCCACTAGAGTCTAATTTCTGTCTCCTTGACCTCAACAGTTGTTTTTGTTTTTGTTTTAATCTTTGCTACCTCAGCTCCCAACAATGTGAATTATTCAAGAGAATACATTTTAACCAATCTCTGCCCTGTTGAGTCTCTTGACAGTCACAGCATAGTTTAGCTGTCATCAAAATACCTTGACCATTTTAAAGGTAAAGATTTTGCATTTCCAAATACCACAGTCAATTCCAGATCCAGCTTCCAGGTCTGGTCCAATGCTGGCAACAGCTATTTAAACTACCCCTTAAAAACCTCATGGGCAAATCCACCAACCATATTGTCAGAGAAGATTTGCATTTCTGATCAAAAGGACACCCAAGGGTTACAAGGAAAGGATCTGAAATGCAGCTTTGAGGCTCTCTCCTTTTATAGATACTTGGCAACATTCCTAGGAGCTCACGCTCCCTTTAAAATGTGTCACGTGTATAACATTCGTGCTCAGAGAGGTGAGAGGTGAAAGCCCAAGCAAAGGTTTAAATAAATTAATAAGGCAATAGAGCAAATAACAAATTTACTTGCCACAAAACCATAAGCAATATAAATGCTACTAGGTATTCTCTGAAGTCACTTTCTTTTGGACTGCATATCCAGTGATAGCATTCAGGAGAATATCTGTATATTTTAATATACAGGTGGAAAAAAACTCTTTAAATCTCTAAATACTCATCTTCCCCTTCACATTCATTCCATCCTCAAATTTGGTTGTTGTCAGAGATCCTAAATCGTTTGAGACCAGTTATGGTGCTCTCCATCTTCCCCAAAGGGACTGGAGAACTTTCTCAAATCCTGGTTGCAGAGTTCACAGTAACAGCGCCCACCTATCTATTCGCACCAGCCCACACTGCATCTGTGCCAAACAGCATGTGCTCCCTCCAGGCAGCCACCAGCCTGCCAGCTCAGCAGGGCAGAACTGGGCAGACCCTGCGACTGTGCAGGGACTGGCTTACCACCAACTTCCCAGGGCAAACGCCCAGGCAGGCCATGTGCACTGCCAGGACTTGGGCAATACCAAAGAGCAGGGCTCCAGACTGGTGCCTGGGCTCCGATCAGAATTACCCCATAATCACCCACAACCACTAACTCCTTCTTAGCACTGCCCACCATTTCTCCCACATCCTCATCCCTGGTACCAAGCCTGGCAAGCTGGCCACCCTGGAAAAATAACCCGCAAAGTAGGGGGTGGCAGGTCTTTGGAAAAGACAGCACACCGGCGCCCGGGGCCAGATGGCAGGTAACTGCAGGCCGGTTCGGGACCCTCACCCCTGCACCTCTGGCGCCCTCGCACCCGCCCCCTCCTCAGCCTCCGCTCCCAGACCCCCAGCTGTCTCCTCCAGCAGACGCCGGCGGCCCACGTGCCCCAGCACTCACCCGCGGACTCCCATAAACCTCTGGCCCCTCACGATCCCTCCAGGCCCGCGACTCCCTTTCCCACGCGGGCCCGCCCCTCACCGAGAACCAAGCAGCCGGTGGCGCGTCCCTCAGCTCCCACCGTTGGCCTCCGTCCCCCGAAAGTCCCGGTCCTCCCTCTGGCCTGCCTCGCTCCCTACTCTGTCCCCTACTCCACCTGCTTCTCCGGCGCCCTTACCCAAGCCCTCCCGCGTCGCGCCACCCCCGCAACCTTCCAGCGAGCCGAGCCCGCCCTTTCTCACCTAGGGCCGGGGTCGCAGTTCCAGGACTTGCCCCGCAGATCCGGCGGCGCATGCGCGAGCACTGCCCCACGGCTCCATGACAACCCCTTCCTCGCACGGCCTCCAGTTATTCCCCTGGCCTCCCGCCCATTTCTCCTCCCCCTGCCCGCCCCCCCCGCCTCCAACGACATTCGCCAGCCACGTGACAGGGCTCGGACGACCGGGTACCATAGAGACTGCACGCTGTTCTCCTAGAGTGGTCCCTTAGAGCCGCCCCCTTGCTCCGCCTCCTCCGGAAGTCGAGGCCGCGCGCGGCGGTTACGGCGGCCGCAGAGCGGCGCTCTCTCTGCGGAAGGCGGGCTCTCTGTGGCTGTTTCCTGAGGCCCGGCCGCCATTTTGGAGGGGGCTCGGAGGAGGGGGAGTGCCGTCTCGAGGCGGGGTTTCGAGGGGGCGGGCTGGGCCAGTTTACTGCACACACGGCGAGAAGCGTGATTCGTTTGTGCCCGCAGGGGAGGGCCGCTCTCGGGGTGTGTAATTCCTGGACGCTTTTTGGGTGGGGACTGGAACTGGCCCAGCGAGCGTGGGAACAGCCGCGCGGTGGGAGGGGAGGGACAGGGCCGCCCGCCGGCTCACGTGTTTGCCACGCCTGTCTCCAGCTGGGTTTGCTTTCGCGTCTAACCTCGGGGTCATGCGCAGTGAGGCTAGGACGCGCTGTGTGGTCGCGTTTGGCTCGCGCTGTCTGGTGCCACACTCCGTAGGTGTTGTGGATTCTGTTTCTCGTGTCAGGCCTTGAGGTTCCCCAGTGAACCTGAGTGTAGCAGCTGAGGGAAAAAGGAAGTGGAGGTCAGAAGACGCGTTTGACGAGTGTGGGCTACTTTGTAGAGGAAGAAGATGCGTTTAAAAGATCGCTGACAGTCGAGCATACTGGCACTGGCCTGAAGTCCCAGCACGCTGGGAGACAGAAGCAGGAGGATCACAAGCTGCGATTTAAGGAGATACAGTCTCAAAAATTTAGAAAGGGCGGGGACAGTAATTCAGCCTGAAGGCCTTGGAGTTCAGTCCTCAATAAAGAGCTGATAGAGACAGGTTCCGGAACTGTGCTCTTTGACATAGTAACCAGGAGGAGCTACTTAAGTAAATTAAAATGAGATTCCATTTTAGTTGCTATGAAAGAATTTTAAGAGCCCAGTACTACATATGGTTGCTGACTCTTGTGTTAGACAGTGAAGATTTAGCACATTCTCAACCTTGCAGATAGTCGAATTGGACAGCGCTGATCTAGCTGATGAGGAATTATCCTATGTTACTAATCTAAGCATTTGAAAACACCATTAGATCATAGTTAATCATGTTAGTCCTTTAGACACAGATTAATGCTAATGTATTTCTGGATATGGAGAGTACTTATTAGCATAATTCTACCAACAAATAATAATCGAATGCCTACAGCATGTAAGGCTGTTGCTTTGGGGACAGAGAGGATAAAAGCAATAGTTAACTATTATCAGACAGTAAAAACAGCTTTACATATAGTCTCTTATGAGGCCTCAACAAATTTGTGCTATAGGTGCTGTTATGCCCCGACTGTAAGGGAACTGGGACTTCTGCCCAAAACAACAGTTAATAAGCCAGAGTGCTACCTACAAAGACACATTGCCTCATTTTGAGGCTGACTAAACCAGTCTTTGCTTTTGCATAGCTTAAAATCTGACATGGGAAATAACATGTGCTGTAATAATCAGTATGAGAGAGGATGTGATAAGTGCTAGAAGATTCTGAACAAAATTATCAAGGGAGGAAAAAAAAACATGCAATTTGGTTCTGATTAGTTGTTAGAGGAGGAAGAGACCAGTAGGCAAAGCTTTAAAGGACATATAAAAGTGGGGTTGGCTGTAGTGGAAGTAAGTGGGTCATAATACACACAAAAAAGAATAAGCAAAAGCTTGAGGGGGAACCTTAATCTTGACCTCCAAAAGGGCAATAAGTCAGACTTCCTTGATTTTTGATTGTATATGAGCAGACAGAAAAGTTGTAGCAATAATTTGAGTTTCGAAAACAAATTTGGAAGTCAGGCGCACACTTGTAATCCCAACACTCGGGAGGCTGAGGCAGGAGGATCATTGCAAGTTCCAGACTAGCCTGAGCTACAAACAGCTCAAGGCCTGCTTGAACTGCGTAGTGTGACCCTGTTATGGTTTATGTCTAGTTGTCCCCCCCCCCAACCTCATGTAAGTCATAGGGCAGATGCAGTTGGAAGAGCAGTGAGTGGCTTGAGGGGCAGGGCCAAAAGACCAGGGTGGGACTCAAGGGACAGGACCATGACTTGTCCCATGAGTCAACACGTGGGGTAATGACCTGGAGGAGGAACGGGGATAAACAAGACAGGGCGAGAGACACAAGAGACGGAGACAAGACAGGCTTTCTGATCAAGTCTACTTTATTGAGGAAGTAAGCAGGGTCTAAATAGCTGTATAGTGGAAGCAGTTGGGTGGGACTAGTTGTGGATTCGTAATGGAGATCCAGGACCACAGGAAGATGTCGAGGCAAGCGGGGATTGGTGCTGCACCACTTCTTGCCCAAATGAGGGAAAATATAACAGGAGCATTCTGTTGCCCCCACCCCCAGGACCAGAGAGGCCAAACCATTAAACTGGTAGCATGCACTCTGCCTCCCTCTTGCCCCCACCACCAGCCTGCAGCCTCCCTTAGAACTGTGGAGTCCGTCTGGGCACAGCAGCGCCCCAGCCTCTCCTCTAGACCCTGTAGCATGGGACAGCAGTATCTGTGATTGAGGCTTCCTCAACTGCGTAGTGTGAGAAGACAGAGGCACTGACCTTTCCTGAGCAAATAAGGCTCCAAGGTCTTGCTGCATAATTCAGGCTGTTTTAAACTATGAAACCTCCAGGAACTGTGAGCTAAATAAACCTTTCCTTCCCTCATTTTGAGTGGTGAGTTTTTGTCCCAGCAATGAGAGAAGAGTAACTAACACAGAATTTGGTACCAGGAGTGGGGTTGTTGCTGTGGCTAAATCTGACTGTGGATTACCAGCTTTTGGGACTGGCTTATGGGGAGAGATAGGAAATATTTGAAGATGTTGCCTATAAGAGCAGTGCTTCAACAGCTTTGGCTGTTCTGTAGGGTGATTCTGGTCAGAGCTCAGACCAGAAGACTGACAGAAAGTCTGCCTGTAAAGAACAGGTTGTGGAGGTTTCTGCTGGGAAGATGGACTGCATTGGTTGTTGGACTCCAGATCATTTGTGTTTGCCTTGGCAGAAAGTTTGTCTGAATTTTGCCTGTGTCCAGAGACTTTGCCTGAGACTGAGATTAACCATGGAGGACTGATGAATCTTTCAAAGGAACTCTCAAAGCAGCCAAATATTGGGGCAGTGGCATGGTTATTGTTGGAGGCTCTTAGATTTATGTTGAGAATGAAGAGCAAAGAGCCCTGCAGAATGATTTAAAATGTCATGAGTTTGGCAACAAAGCTCCAATAAAGCCGTGAAATGCAAAGATAGAGCTGAGATCTTCATTGTCCAGGAGGAACAAGAGAGTAGAAATGGGCTGGGGAGATAGCTCAGTAGAATAAGCACTTGCTTGGCAAGCACAAGGGCCTGAGTTCAATCCCCAGTTCCACAAAAAAAAAAAAAAAAAAAAAAAAAGAAAAGAAAAAAGAAAGAGAGAGTAGAAAAGATGTCTTGAGGGCATCACAGAGGTGGCAGGTTCTTGTCCTTTGATGCCTCAGAATCGCAAGGGTGAGGGACTTTGTTTTGAGAAATCCGCAGAATCCCATGTTCCAGAATGAAGGCAGCAGCCACAGAGGGGTGCAGAATGGCGACAGCTGCCACACCATATTCCAGAATGGCACCCACATAGAGAATTCGTTCCTAGAAATCAGGGTCAGAGTACTCAGTGATCCAGGCACTTGACCCCTACAGACAAGAGAGAGGAAAGCCTAGCTACACCTCCAGCTGACAGCAGACCTTGGCATCATCCATGTGGCATTGGTTTTAGGCACATGCAGAATGCAAGAGTTCTGAGGTTAACAAGGCTTCCACCTAGATTTCAGAAGAAGGCCTGGGAAGCCAGGCACTGTTCCCCTGAGAAGGCAGTGTTTAAAGCTGTGAGTGAGGCTCAGGAAGATGTCAGCACAGAATGCACTTTCCCTGCTAGTCTGAGTTGCAGCACTAGTACATTTGCATTCTGTGTCATCTGTTTTTGGAGCACTTTGGCCCATATTCTCTGAGCTCATCTTCACAACAACATCATGATATAGACAGAAGCAGAATGCTGTATGAGAGATAAGCCTCAAACACTGCCTAAAAGCACACAATTAGGTGACATGTTGCGCCAGCATTGGGAGGGAATCATCTAATTCCAGGTTTTCAATTTTTGTTGACTGCTCAGAATCTAAGAATTTGCCTCCAAGGGAAAAAAAAAAAAGCTGTGAGTGAGAAGCCTATTCAGTGGAAACCTCAGAAGGTTGGAAAAGCCAGGAATGTTGGATCACCTAAGGAAAACTATAAGGAGGGAGCAAAGCCGGCCTAAGAGAGAAGCCATGGGAAATACCACCAAGAATGCCATGGGGCGGAGCCACATGGAGCACACAATTTGCCACAGATTGCTTCAGATGTTCCACATGGAACTACAGGACTTAATGTTTGCCAACTTGTTGCTGAACTGCACTTTATCAAACATAACAGTGACAGTGCATTCTTCAAGCTTTTAAACCTCCCCTTACAGAATAAGAATTCTCAAAACAGCAGCTCCTAAATTATTCTCCAAGTCAGCTTTTTGTCCCTCCAATTCTGTTTTGCCATACAAATTTAGGGGGACTGGTATGTCTTCCTCTCTATAAGGTGGATTTGTTCCATCAAACATATAATCTCAGTTAATGTAGATGAGAAGTGCTCCAACTGCAACTGCTTCCTTTGCTAAATTCCCAGAAACATCCACATTAAGCTGAGAAGCAGCATCT